AGAAATGACACTGAATGATGATTTCTAGTGTTTAAGGAAATACCTTGTTAGCACGGCATGTTTCGATAGTGCCCCATGTGTTCTGTTGAAGCTCTAATGATAGACACATTATTTACATGTAGTTGAACAAGTAGCACAAGCAATTTGCCAAAGTGAAGAGAGGACAGAATCAGGCTCAGACAATTACTCTGTTGGCGAACAGGATGTTCTCAAGATTGATCTCGGGAGCCGAAGCAAAATTGGGTTATGGGACTGACAAGTTCATCACGCTACCATGGGCTCCTCATCTGTCTGTGCAAAGTTCACTCGTAGTCCAGTTGCACCAGTGTGCCAACAGCCTCGGATGTTGACTGAATGACTCATACCGATCGAGCATTGCAGACTAAAATAAAAAAAGAATATTTCTTGAGGAAGTATGTATGTTAACCCTAACAGTCCTCAATCCGATTTCAATATGATTTTACATACACTCTGGGGATTAGGGGTAAAGTGTTCCTCGGATGACCGATTCCTTCAGATGAAATTGCTGTTTTTAGGAAAATCTTCTTGTCACCCCCATTAACGAGTTCTGAATGTGTATGTGTAAAATACTAAATACATGTTTCTGAGAAATTGTGTTCTCCAGAGAGTCCCAACAAGGTTAGCTCTAGGCCAAAGCTTACGCCTGTAATTCAGCCTATCAGTCAAATCTTTTCTTTCTATGTGACAGAGCCAGAGTGGTCCATTTCATCCAACCACTTTCCTGTTACCGTGCCGTTTTTGCATTGTATGATTAATCCACTCCAATTATTGGAATTTCCATTATCTTTTGGAAAACATACATTGTCTGTGTTTTCACAAGTGACTTCTTTGATTAACTACACATGAGTCAAGGTGATTTTTGCGTAACTTCTGATGTCAGTTTTGGAATTTGAGGTAGACAAATCTGAGGGTTCCTTGATAATTTGTGAATCTGAGTCCGTGTTTATTAGAGCCTCCACTAAATGTAACTGGCTCATGGGTATTATGGGACTTTTTTCAAATGCATGACACACACATTTGAATTTGTTACTTTATAAGCTTTAATTTAGTGTAGGTTTGAACCCTGTGGCATTTTCCAGTCTGGAGATATATTAATTATTTTGCATAATCACATCATGCACATTTACAGAGGTGCTTTCAGAGATAAAGCCCTTTAAACACAGGAAGTGGAAAATGAAATCAGCCAAGAAGAAAGTTTCTTAAATATTCATAGCAACTATTAGGTTTCTTGTTTGAATTGAGAAAGTTCTGATATAATAGAAGCCAATAAACCAAGTAAAAAATCACCCTCTCCGTATAAAATGCCCTTAGCATGAAATAGCACAGTGTCCCTTAATACCCTTTTTCACATAGTGGGTCACACATTTGGTAGCTGAACTCACAGTGCAGCAGGGGCGTAGCCGGGGGGAGGGGCATGTGACCCCCACAATTCTTGATGTTCCCCCAGGTTCCCCCCCTAAAAAATTTGATGATTGGATATTGAATAAGGCTAACAAAAGCTTGCCCCCAAAAACTCACCACTGAAGGCTGGTGCCGTGCCCCCATTGTGCCCCCCACTTGTAAAATCCTAGCTAAGCCACAGCTGTGCGGTCAGTCTAGTTCAAAACTCATTTTTCGCACAATTAGCCGAACCTGTATCTATGAAGTTTTAAAGTATTCACACACTCGGAATGCATGTATGCTGATGCATGAAGCAATAACCTTAAATCACTTACGGATTTCATGCCAGTCCAAGGGAGCCCTTTTCTCATCGATTTTCATCATTTTCAAGGTAGTTATTTTCACCGTAAAATCTGTACACACAAAGTGCATTAAAAGTGTGCACGATAATAACATCATTACTGTGTAAGGGGGTATATGGGGAACTGGAGCAAGACTCCACTTAGAGAACATGGGGGGGGGACAGGTTCTTTCTGGGGGTTCCTCATGTCAGAGGTCTGGCAAGCCCATCATCACTGGCAGCAGAACGATTTTCAAAGTTGAGGAGAGCAGTTGCCAGACTATCTGGCATCAGCAGTTGATAGGCTGATCCCTATAACCCCAGCCATCCCATTATAGACCACTCTCATTTTGCCTACGATTAGTATGGACAGCCAGAGAATTTGAAGAAATAGCCCCTTTTGGTCAGTTTTGAATTTTATCGCCAATTTGTTCATAATGGAGATTTGTCTCACTGATTTTAAATAGGGTTGTATTTTCAAGTATTTATTGTTATCATGTGTTCTGATAGCTATGCAGGATTTTTCACGCTGAATTGTTCTTTAACTTATTCTTACTTACATGTATCCTGATGATAGCCAACCGTAGTTTTAGCAGCCACTTGTTGGAAAAACACTTTTGTGACATCAAAAGAGCAGGCCTTATGGGACTCGTAAAATATGGGTGGGTGCCTCCGGTCAAAAAAGTGTGTGTGGGGGGGGGCACTGACCCCCTAGTCCCCCCCCCTTCTGCCAGTGTGTGGTATGTTTTATTGACGCACCCTTGGGGCTTGCACAACTGTCAATCTCAGTTTCTCTGTCCTACAAAGAACATGCTGTGCCACGTACGGCATGTCGTCAACACCACCAGCTCTGAAAACGTGTAGATTCATCATATTCCAAGAAATCATCAATGAGAGCTTCATTTCACAGCCGTAAATCAGCAACATTAAACTTCACGTAAGACCATGTTCCAAAGTCCAGTGTGTAGATTCATCATATGTCAAGAAATCATCAAGGACAGCTTCGTTTCACAGCCATAAATCAGCAACGTAAAACGCCACGTAAGACCATGTTCCATAAGTGAATTAAAATCCAGTATGTAGGCTCATCATATTTCAAGAAACCATAACAGGACAGCTTCATTTCGCAGTGGTAAATCAGCAACATAAAACCTCGCATAAGACCATTTGCCATAAGCGAATTGAAATCTAGTGTGCATATTCATCATATTTCAAGAAATCATAATGGGACAGCTTCATTTCACAGCCGTAAATCAGCCCCATCGTTTTACAGAAAACGACTTGTCCACAAGTGAACTTTGAAAAGTACACGTACATGTACTGTATCTTAAAAGGGAATCTACATTCTGCTGTTTAGACCTGGGACAAAACCAGAGGATTCATTGTAAAGAGAGAAAGGAGAAGTACCAAAGAACAGGTACGTAAAAATGTCCTCATCACTTACAATCACAAATAAATCAGATAAAGAACATTTAGGCCCCGAGTTTCAAATCTTTAGCTGAGTTAGGGCAGCTTGTTTTCGTTCACGAACAGCTCGATTTGTTATTCGTGGGTCAGCCACTCGAATGCCAAGAACACACAACCGGTTATCGCTAATAGTTATTTCTAGTAAGCAACATGCAAAATGGCGGTATCCATGTGCATTCTTCGGGAGTTAATGTTTGGATAACTGGGCTAACTTCTTTTCCATTTAAAAAAATTCATTTCTCTTATGGAAAATTATTAATGTTAATTTTGCTAAACTTTCCACTGTCTCCAGCTTTCTAACTATCTTGATAGTTTTTGCAGGTTTTGAAAAATCAAATGTCACAAGTTTTTCTGTGTGTTCATGTAAAACTCTGACGAGGAGGTGGTGTGTGATCCTGTTCTGGGAGCAATGTTCTTGAGTCGTGTTCCCACCGTTCGAGTGCGAGAACACGAAACCAGTGTCAAGAACAGGCCACAGGACCTCAACCTTACATTGCAAAAGCATATATATAATTGCACACTGTACACAGTACCAAATCCAACATTGTATTTTGGATTTGGGGTAGCTCGTTTGAGTCTATAAACTTTTTCTCAGTGCTCCAAGAAAGAATTACTCAGCAACGTAAGTCTGTGAAGGTCAGATCAGATCAATATTAATTGTCCTGAAAATAGTGACCAAAAATCTGTTAAATAAATCAGCAGCCTTAAATATTTTGGTTTGCAAAAATTACAATGAAATTGGTGCACTAGCAGTGAAATTAATACAATTCAAATTAAGTTCGGATTAAAAGTGGTCAGTGAATTAAAGAATGGTAGATGATGACATAATTGTTAAGAGAGAGGTCTGCATATTAAAGGAAGTTGTTCTGACCTGGAAGATTTTTATGAAATCTAATTGGCTTAAAGTTTATAGCATGTAATTTGCATGCCAATGACATTTTTCACCTTTGCTAAATTATGTCTTGCATTGTATACACAGTAATCACATAATATTACCCATATTAAGCTGAAGCATCTAGACAAGATTACAAGCTTTTGCAGACTGAGAAAGTTTGGCAACTTGAAGGTCATGTACATGGACTAATCCATGCAGGCTTTGTCAGAGCGGTGACACCGTGCTCACACGTTCATCCTTAAACTTGAGCATTTTGGCAAGTCTCATTGGTTGAGTCAGCGTGTCGCACAAGTATGTTGTCCACAAGTGAGTTACCACTCAATTAATGGCGTTTAATGCCGCTCACTGACTGAGCTGGTACCCTATCATGTGGAGTAGACCGTGCAGGAAACAGTTTGCTTGTTTCACCTGTCATCACAAACACTACAAAGTGACACTTGGTGGCATTGATGTACGTATACACTCCTCTTGCTCAAAATTTAACAGACTCGGGTAATGGGGGTTTTCAGGGACTGTAACCGAGTACAGCTGTGGACATTCAGTATATTTTTGTTTCCATAAATGAAACTTTTTCCTAAACTTCCCAAATTAATAGGTTCGACTTCCTTATTTTCTGGAGGGAGTCAATTTGTGTAAACCAATTCAAAGTGTATTTCTCTGTTACAAAAAATATATACCTGCTTCATGGTTGCATGTTTGTGTAAAAGTCATCAGTGTTACTGTGTTTGCATAACCAATGTTGTTGACCACGCGTCTGTGTGTAGTTTGTGTCTTTGAGTTCATGAACCAAAAGGATGAGCGGTTATGGAGCATAAGATCATTGCTCCTTCATTGGTCAAAGGGAAGTAATTGAGCATGATCAAGTCTTACAGAATCTGCACTTCTTTCCACTCCCAGGTGGAGGAGATTCTAAGCCTACTGGGTCTGATGGAGAGTGTCCACACCAGGGTCTCTAAGCTGTCAGGAGGTCAGGTCAAACGGCTGGCCATCGCCTTGGAACTGGTCAACAATCCCCCGGTGCTGTTCTTTGATGAACCAACAAGGTAGCAAAAGAAAAATTAAAACCATTTTATTTTTGCATGGCAGTGTGTGGGAGCTTTGTTAGGAAATAAGGGGTGAATTGAGATCTAGTACGTTAAACGTGCTTGATGAAATGCCGCCCACAATATTCTCTATGTCTGACAAGACTCAGATCTCTTTAAGTTTGTAAAAGGTGGCAAAATCATATTTAAAGGCAAGTTTTCTGACCCTGGTGCTAACTTCCAAGCCAGAAACCTTTTCTAAAAAGTGAACAAAAAGGTACAACCAAATTGTTGGACTCCTTGTCGATGAAGCTTTATGTCAGAGTAAAACAATTACTGTTTGATTAATCAAACTGTAACTGAAATAGGAAGGCATAATCCTATTTCAACACAAAATATGTGTTGTGCATTTCAACACAAAGTTAAGTTTTCATTTTCCACCTTAGACCGGCACCTTTGAATGTTTCACAGATTAAGTGTACCTTATAATCGATTTCAAAAATCAAAGTGTACTCTCAGGCCCACAATTTTTTATATCTTATCAGAGTTTACCGTATGTGTCACCATTTGATCTGTTTCTTAATTGTGACTCATGTCTTCATTGCCTTTTCCCCCCACTCTCTAGTGGTCTTGACAGTTCCTCAAGTTTCCAGTGTCTGTCTCTCCTGAAATCGTTGGCCCGGGGTGGCCGGACGGTCATCTGTACAATCCACCAGCCCAGTGCCAGGCTGTTCGAAATGTTTGACCAAGTAAGTCTCGGGCATGCACTCACGTGTCGCCTTTTGTTGTGGTTTGGCATCAGACTTCGTAGATATGAAAGTCTCCACACCAGAGATCGAGTTCTGATACAGTCACTGAACTCCACGTTAAAGAGTCTCGATAGCTTGTTGGCCATTCTGAACTGCACTGTACTACTTACATATTAAAGTTATGCGCTGGTTCCCAATTCAGCCATAAGAGCGTTGGAAGGAAGCCAGCTACTTTCTGCCACTCTCATTGTTGTGAAAGAAACTATATAGGGAAACTGACTAGGTGCTTATAAATGATTATAAAGATGAACAAAGAAATTGATAGGAGCAGGATTTGAACCTGCAACCTCTGGAACACTGTGCCAGTGCTCTACCAACTGAGCTATCCAGCCCTAGTGTGGCATTTCACAGTGGGCGACGCTTACTGGATCAGTCTTTTGCTGGTTTTACACAAGTCGTCAGTCAGGAACATGTTTTGAGCACCAACTGTTGGCTATGTAGAAATTGATCTGTAATGTGGAAGTTTTGACTTCCGATAACACACTGACAATCGACGAAAAGGCTCCAACCAATAATTTCGAAAATAGGTACCTTGAAAAAAGTGTCAGCTCTTCCCCCACCCCCGGAGCTGCTGTGAAATTGGAAGAGCTAGGATAAAGCAGCACACCGGTGGATGCAGTGTTTTCCTGATGATGATAAACGTCATGGCCATATTTGCTGCAATGCCATCGGAATGAAGTCCAAGGTCTCTTGTTTGTTAGCTTACAGTGCATCCCATTGAACTTCTTTGAAGAGTTAAACTAATTGTGAGGAACAGGAATTGAAGAAAGGATGAACAGTGAGTGAAAAGTGAAAAAGTGCAATTTTTTTTACTCCTTTTGGAATCTTTTTTTTTTTTTTAAGCTGTACGTGCTTGGTGAGGGACAGTGTATCTACCGAGGGAGTATGCAAGGTCTAGTACCCTACCTCAAAGCTCAAGGCCTAGTGTGCCCGCCGTACCACAATCCTGCAGACTATGGTAAACAGAAGAAAATCTACAGTTTCAGTGCTACATTTCCGGTGGTCCCAGGTTGAAATACATGTATTGATTAGTAGCTATACAGTACTACTTTACTGTCACCGGAGTGCTGAAAATGATGAGACTTTGCTCTTTATTGTTAGAACGTTTTAGCAGCGTATGATCTTATGCGACTTAAAATGAAGATGTGCATCACCCTTAAAGAGCATTCTCCGCAGAACACTTGTAACACCTGCAGCCGATTTCCCAAAACTTTCCCTTACTTTAAACCATGTGTAAGCCTTACGGTTGATTTCATGAAATGTTGCCCATAAATTAAATTTAATAAAACTTTGTGGGCGACGACTGAACCTTTGCAATATTACAGCACTCATCAAACAGTCATTGAATTACCTCCGCCCGCAATTTCAAAAACGTTTTTGTCAAATCTTCATGGTAACTGGACAGAAAATCTCAAAGTTCTCTCACAGCCAAACAAGTTTTTCATTACTTGTGGAACAAAGTTTTTACCTTTTTCTTATAAGAATAAGTTCAGCAACGATGAGCCTTAAATGAACACATTAAGCCAGTCAAATCATTTAGTTTAACTTTGTTTGGCGCAATTAACGACGTCTATAATGATTGTTTAAGTAACGCCATAATTTGTTGTGCAAGGCAGGGACTTAAGAAGTGTGTTTTTGTAAAATCGCTCCTCAACAGTGACGTGTTGCACAACATACAGATTAAAATGCAATGTAAGTGACACAGCGCCATAATTTGTTGTGCAAGTTGTGGCCTTACCCAATGCGTACGTTTCATGAAATCACTTGTGACTTGTGCAATGCACATAACAAAATGTGGCACAAGTGATATTACGCTACTGCGTAAAGTTTCGTGAAATCATCTGCTGGAGTTTAGAGATACAACTCTAGCAACAAAATGCACTAATTCCAGGGGTGAGATTTCTCAGCTTTTCAGCTGATTTCAGATTTTTTTGGTTTGGATTTCAACTTTTTGTTCCTCACTGGCTGTGTACAAAAGTAAAGGAGATTTTCACGGATCAGCTTCTTGATGCCTTTTTTCAACTGTTTTCAGCTGTTTTTATCATTGGTCAATCTCATCCCTGTAATTCAGACCATGTGAATTGCAGCATAACCTGGAGAAGGGCTTGCTGTGTCCTCGCTAAATTGTGCAGTACCCAACATCAGACCTTCACATCACCTCCAGCCAGAATTCAAGTCCCAGGCTATTTGAACTGGAGCACAAATTCTTTTGTCATTGTCCTTGCTCTTACCACCAGCTTACCAGTGACAGGTCTTGTGTGTGGTCTTGCAGTTATCTCGATTGCGACACTCCTTATTTGAATGTCATCATTCAACATAAAAAGCCTTTTTTTCTAATACAGCCGTGTTTTATCTTGTTTGATGATCATTGATTATAAAGATAAGCAAAGAAATTGCCGCGGGTGGGATTCGGATCTGCAATCTCCAGAGACCGTGTTGACACTCTGCCAACCGAGCTACCCAGCCCTATTTTGCTGGTTCTTCCCATTTATTGAAATCTTTGTGGGTGATAGTCGGAAGTCATAAAATTCCAAAACTTTAAAGCCAGGAATCATGCCACAATGCAACTTGGGAAATGGTGAACAGAGATCTCTCAAAAGGATGCATCTTCTTTGAAATTAAACTGTATAAGGAAACTGACTAGATCCTCTGCTTTATGATTGGTTAAATGATAGTTATTGAGATAGCGTCTGGAGAGTACGGCAACATGATCGGCGACCTGTCTAAGCTGGTAACCGATGGTAAATGTGAGGAGTTCCTGAATCTAGAGCCCCCACTGCACAGCACCAGCTCCAATAGCCTCAACAGCAGCAACAGCCTGACAGGCCATGCTCACTCCAATGGCGATGCCGCATCAGTGACGACAGCAGGCATTGGCATGGCCACCTTCACCGCGTCAAAGGGCGAGGGCAGTATCACAAACGGTCACACGCCTTCCAATGCTCCGCAATCCAACAGGGTAACAACCAAAGCCATCTTTAAAGAGGCGAATGGTGTCTCAACGCATTCAGTCGTGGTAAGGGTACAGAGTTGTTTTGATCCCATGAGCGCGCTCGTACGCATCTGCAGTGTCAGTGACTCAAGTCGCTTTTTGTTTTACTCAGGACTTGACTTAACTTGGGAAAAAAAATTTACCTGGGACGTAACTATTTGAAAATTGGACTTAGGATTCGACTTGGAAAGAAATTTTGCTTTAGACTTGAAGCATGAAACTTTAACTTTGGACCTGACTTTGATAAAATGGACTTGAGATTTGATCTGTGAATGACTTGATGTTGACTTGACTTGTAAACAGTTGACTGGGACTTGAGTTGGAAAATATTGACTTGGTTAAGACCAGGAGAGTTTCTAGAGCCAATTTATGTGTTGGGGGGGGCTAAACCCTTTGCATGTGACGTCACCTGTTAACTTTTGCTACTGCTCTGTTTTATTTTATTTTCCATTTTTGGCATTTTTTAGGGAGGCCAGAGCCCCCCTCCTGTAGAATCGCGCCTGGTTATTACTCTGTTTATAGGGGTTTCTTGCTTGAAATATTCTGGATATTTGTGCTTCTGTTCAATTTTTACTCCAAAAAGACAGACTTAGACCCCATTTCTGATTGAATTTGCACCCATGCAAACGTGCTTTCAGCCTTTCAAAACATTGGTTTAGTGAAAACATGTCTTCTCATGGTATTTGAAACAGTTTGAAGATGTATACCCCTGAAGAACATGTGCACATATGTAGTGCCAAGTTCATTTCTTGTGGAGGAGACATTAAAATTCCATTCGTCCTTTAGTTCCTCGGTTTCACCACAAAGTGACGAATAGGGTTGCTTTGGTGCACCACAAAGTGGCATACCGTCCATGTACTTTGTACACCCAATATGTCACTTCATGGTGCAACCAATGAGTTAATTTTCTCTGTACTTTGCAATTCGTTGGTTTTAGTCTATCAGTTGCAGTAAAATTTAAAATAAAGTTTTATGATAACAGTTCATGGTTACAGCTGGTCAACCTCTGAGCTTCTTTTTTACCCTCAAACAGACTTGCGATGACCTTGACCTCGACGGGGGACATTTTGCCACCAGCTTTCTGACGCAGTTCAGTGTCCTCTTCAAGAGAGCGTTCCTTACAATTATAAGAGACCAGGTGAAATCACACAGAAAAGGCACAAAAAGTATTAAAGTTTTTTAATGTAACATTGTATCATAAATTGAATAAAATTTATTCCCACCAGTTATCACTTTAAGTAGAACTGGTTGCTTGTAAAAGCCCAAAAATGCTACCGCTGGCACCACTGAAATGTTTATCAGAGGGGGAAGAACTCATTAAAGCACTCCGCAATGAAGGAGTCCAATTTTTTGGGTAGTTTTAAGCAACTTCGTGATCTTCATCTGCTGTTATACCTTTCTTCCTCCATTTCCTTCACTTTTCTTTCTTGTGTGTTTCCAGGGAGGGCAGGTTTCCCCCTCCTCTTGCCCCTCAGCCCCCATTTTGAGTCCACATGCCCACATGTTGGCCCTTGGCCAAGTCTGAAGTCATTTAACTGCATTTTGAAACAACCCTGAAGGACGCAACTTTTTTTTCTGTGTTTCGCCGCAGTTACTGACCCATATACGCATCTTCTCCCACATCGCCTGCGGTCTCTTGATCGGGCTTCTCTACCTTGAGATCGGGAACGACGGCAGCAAGGCCTTCAACAACACAGGCTTCCTCTTCTTGTCAATCCTTTTCCTAATGTTCACGGCACTCATGCCAACAGTTCTTTCATGTAAGCGATGAGAGAAAAATGATTATGCCCGATGTAATCTGCACTCTGCAGAGGATGGGAGGTCTTTTATTGGAAGTCTTGAGTTTGCACATCAGAGTACCGAGAGGCATGCTTGTGGGTACACCATGGAAGCAGTGTCTGTTAGGAAGACACTGCTGCTGAAATGAGCCAGTGGGGGAAAAGTTCTCCTTTTAAGTTGGTGGCGAGACTTGTTTTTTTTATCATCACAGTTCTCAGAGCCAACACCCAGTGGCGTAGGGGGGGACCTGGGGGGCACGTTCCCCCCCCAAATTCCTGGTGCCCCCCAGGTGCCCCCCCCCCCACTGAAAAAAAACAGATGAATGGATATTGAACAAGGCTAACAAAAACCTGCCCCCAAAAAACCACACCTCTGAAAGCTGGTGCCCTCCGAGATGCTTGTGCCCCCTTTGTGCCCGCCCACAAGTAAAATCCTAGCTACACCACTGCAACCATACCCCTCGGTACACTCACTGTAAGGCCCATCTAAGTGGGGAGGGGGGGTGCCAGCCCTTGGCAAGCAGGAGGGCCCTCATCTGCATCAAAATCATCTTTTGTTCTTTTGATGTGCCTCCTAGCTGATAAAAAGCCCCATCCACAAAAGTTGTTTACACGTCATAAGACTTTTACTCCCCTACTACGTTATACACAGTTTTTGTCGCCCGTGAGATTATGCGCATCAAGAAAAATATTGTTACATTTTGTTACATTCAACTTACGCCAAGGTGTTCATGTTCAATAGCATGCACGCGCATGCGCACAGTCGCATCTTGACTCGACGGGAGCTTTGTTCAGTCTCTTTTTTGCCCTTGTGCCAAGGAGATTTTGTCGCTTCGTGAGATGATCAACGAATTGTCTCACCATTGTCTTGACACAGTAATTTCTGGATCTTGTAATAATAATCTAATCTAAACAGGACATTCTATTTTTGCAACACCCTCATGTTGAAAGCAGAATTATGCACACTGATAGTCCCATCCGTTCTGTCTGCCTATTTTTACTTACTCCGTTTGTTTGATAAATTGATTTATCGGTGTTCTCCAGTCCCACTAGAGATGGGCGTCTTCGTCCGGGAAAACCTCAACTACTGGTACAGCATCAAGGCATATTACTTGGCCAAGACCATTGCAGATATGCCATTCCAGGTAGGCTGGCTGTTCCTCCTTTTCACATTGATGCATTGCTTTTGCCTTGCTCACCTGGGCGTCAATCGCTTTTTCGGAGGTGGAGGGGACATATATTAACTAATGAGGGTGCAAAGCATGATGACCTACTAAAAGGCGTGGTGGTAGAAAACCTTGGGGGTCAGGATGCTCTGCGGTGTCATCTGAGGCAATTTCTGATTAAAGTTAAGGCTTTTGCAAGATTTATTTCATAATTGAAATCAATTTTACTGTGAGAATTTTATGCAAGTTGGGAACCATTTTGTTAATCAATTCCCACTTTTTCACCCATAAGAGGAAAGATATTTGGCATACACAGCTCTAAGTAATCTGGAATATGAATCAAACGTAGGCTTACTTATTTCACTAAGGGTCCAGAAGAAAATGGGCGGGGTAAATGATATGATATCTCCCACTTTGGAGAGTGGGGGGTGGGAACATGTCCCCCCCCAGCCCCAGTGATTGATGCCCATAGGTTTGCTTTAAAGGTTCAGTCCATCATTTGTAGCTAGATCCAAAAAGTAACCAGTGAAATCATTTTTGAAAAGCGTACATAGTTCATGGACGGTTACAGGACTAAACTACGTCATTACTCCTGGCAAGCCGTCGTTTTGCTGAAAACAATGAAAGGAAGCCAGAAACGCGTCTGCAGAATGCATTCTTTGAAAATCGCCATTAGAAGTGCAAGCAAGTGTTGACATGACATATGCACGTGGTTACTATCAGACTATCATTTGTTGATTCAGTTCTTGAGAGCCAATTGTAAAATTGTGGCCCAGATGCAGTGATCTCAATTTTGAACAGGATCATATTGTTTTCAGTGGATAATGTTCAGTATGGAATACCAGTCATTCAGGATAATTCATCTGGATTAATTTGAAATGTTGTACCTTCTTTTTTTAGTTCTTCACGAATAATTGTTGACTGACCAACTCCCCAATATTGTTTTCAGTGGATAATGTTCAGTATGGAATATCAGTCATTCAGGATAATTCATCTGGATTAATTTGAAATGTTGTACCTTCTTTTTTTAGTTCTTCACAACTTCTTATTCTTGCAGTTTGTGTTACCAATTTTCTACTGTACGATAGTCTACTGGATGACCGACCAACCCCCCGAGGCAGGCCGATTTATCCTCTTCATTGCCATGGCAACCATGACATCGTTATGCTCGCAATCATTGGGGCTGCTGATTGGAGCAGGGTCTACGTCTTTACAGGTGAGAAAGAAAACCCAAATAAAGCTACATCCTTTCTCTTTTGCTGGCTTTTAAGTTTATCTGGCATCCCCCATCTTGGAAAAAGACAAACATTTTACTAACCATAAGCACTGTTTTATAATGGAAGTGCTTGGTGTGGTTGCGTTTATGTGCGGTTGCAGACGCAAAGAAATTTCCATTCTTGTGTCACTACGTTGAGTATTCTTGCTGTCCAAGGCAAGGGTGCCTTTTGCCTTGTTAAATTATGGTCTCCATGAAACCGTTAGCTTAAAGTCGTGTGCTTTGCATGGCCAGGAATGTCACAAGGGCCAGGATCGAATCTGTCTGTGGGGTAACTCCAAAGTGACACTGTCTTTGCCCTAAAAGTGCAGGGTCTCCCTCTCTTGTGTTTCAGGTGGCTGTCTTTGCCGGGCCCATCTCCAGCATCCCCATCTTGCTCTTCTCAGGGTACTTCGTCACCTTTGACACCATCCCTTCCTACCTGCAGTGGATCTCCTACATCTCCTATGTCCGCTACAGCTTCGAGGGGACGATGCTGATCGTCTATGGCATGGACCGCGGCGAGCTGGGCTGCCCGGCGAACACCACCTGCATGTTCCGGACCAGTCGGGAGGTCCTGGAAGCCCTGGACATCGGCGAAGAGTCCAGGGTCTACTGGCACTTCCTGATCATGTTTGGCTTTTTCGTCGTCGTGAGGATTTTCTGCTTTCTCGTGTTGAAGTTTAAAGTCAGACAGCATCTAGGTTGAAATGACGGGGGCTAGTCTATTGCTACACAAAGTTACCTGATAGGTAGCATTTTGTGAGCAGTTATTTGATAGTTTGATTTTCATGAAGTAGGCTGACACCCATCTTTTCATCATCTTTCACCAGTCTGAAGGCATTATCAAGTAAAGAGTTTCATCCCAAAATTCTATATCCACTGGTTTTGAAAAATATGAGTCAAGGTGACCGGTATAATTCATTGAAATATCTGCTAATTGACACCTTGTCTGTTGAATTCCGATATGTACATGTATTTTCAGAGATATGATTAACCCTAACCCTCCTCAATCCTCCAACAGGTGAAGGATTCAGGAGGGTTAGGGTTAATGTACATTGATCAAATTTCCTTATTGTTTTGAAGACCAAATAATCATCCATTGATGCAACATGCATGTATCCATTTTATTGATTTTGAGATGAAACTCTTCAAAGTATTTGGTAATCCCACAAGATTGGATACATTCCTGAAAACCAGTTTTATAAAAATGAATCCATATTTGTATTTCCATAACAGTGTTGTTACTAAGAAAAACCGGGACCATTCCTGCCAGTGTCCGATCTGCACGCGCACACAAGATGTTACTTCTCGAACCAAACTTTAGTCGCTGAGCAGGTTTTATGAAAGAATACTCCAGGTGACCGGGAGTTTTTTTGTGTGTGTTTTCAGCAACAACATGAATAGTTACAACAATCCCAGGATAATTAAAGTATCTTGCCTTTCCTTTTGTTTACGCCATGGAATCACAAGGTACGAAAAGGCCATGCAAGGAGACGACCGTTAGAAGTCACAGAAAAAAAGAATGACAAAGAAAGACAGTAAAATTCGAAGGTGCTTGATCGTGCTCAAACAGAGGTGGTATGTCAAACGTGGAGGTGAGGTCTCGTGATGACGGACTAAGTATTATAACAAGTATATGCAATAATGAGGAGAAATTTCTGCTTCTTGGAAGGAGCCCAGAAAAAGAACTTCAGATTGGTACTTCGTTTATTTACGGGACGCATCAAAGTGTTAGTGTGTACTACCTGAATACCTCAGACGATTGAGCTGTTTTGATTGGTTAGGAATTGATGACGTGGTGGCAGACAAACCAATCAGAAACTAGAATACACGGGTCAAATGTAATTTCCACTGATGACAGTATTTTGTGAAAAAGTAGCCATGCATTTTTAGGCAAGTGAAATTGTTAACCACGGTTGGTTTTATGTCACGAATTGTGTGATAAGATGATCAAATGTAGGAAGTAGGCCTATCAAGAGAATAAAAAGTGTTAATGTTAGTGCTCCGTATGGAAGATCTGTGTCAATCAGCATCACATTTCCCATGGCCCCTTGCTGTCCAAACTGTGACTGCATTGGCAGCTATATCTCTTCTAGGACACGGGGGGGGGGAAGCACATAACCACAGATACCACGAAATTACAGTTATGTGTCCATGAAGTAGCTTTGAGTTTTCAGTTCAACATTCCCAGAGTCGCATTCGCAATCAATGTTTTGATATAGGGCCATGTTCAAGTTATTTTGAACCATCTCACAGCCGGGGATTCCAACCCCCCCCAACTCAGCTGTGCCTTGCTTGATTTGTTTTTACTTGGCAAAGCATATAAAAACACTCCTTATCATTACAACTGTGAAGTTTTAGCTCCGTCAGATATGCAGTTTTTATAGCTACTTGCGTGCCAGCCCGCGTTGAGCACTGCAGTAGAAAAAAAAATTGGCTGACCTGTCTAGGAAAAATGCATGCTGAGCAAGAACGATTTGTCAAATTTTCACAAAATTGGTTTCAAAATGACCGCGAAGAGGTACTCCAAAAACTCCTGAAGGCTCATTTCCTAAAGAATTGCGCTAGGGCGATAGGACCACAGAGAAAAAAAAATTAAGGGGGCTGCAGATTCCCCCGCTATAGGCTCTTAAGGTTAAAACAGAAGTGGACATTTTTGCCAGTTGCCCACAGAATCTATATTAAAAAGACAAGCTATTGGCGACAGGGGGAGAATTGCAATTCCTTAAACTTTGAATGTTTTTCACATTTTATCGTCGCGTCCTCAGTTTCAATAGGTAGAAATTAGAACTGTGAAGAATTAATTAACAAGTTTATAAGGAAACGCACGCGTGTTTGCGTCAGTGCAAAACAATGTAAAATTTTAAAGCGAGGCTTAATTGTCACAGTGACCAGCTTTATTCGCACGGAAGCTATTCTTAAACAGCATTTATTTACCACCGTTTTGATAATTTGTTCACAATGGCTTACTTAAAAAGTGCTGAAGTGTGCGAAATGCATATTTATACCGTTCTGATTTTCTTTCTGTAATCCAACTAGCAAGAATACAGTTTTTATCGTGAAAGGCAATCTTGACATTTTTAAATGCTATTTCAGCAACAGATAGTTTTTGAAGGGAAATTCAGCTCTCAGTCCTTTTAATGAACTTCTCATTAACTGTCTCTTAAAGTTCACTCCTCTGCAACACTTTTGTTTAATTGTTATTGTGGAACCAGACTTTTGATAAAGCAAGCCCATATTTTTCTTTGCCGGCAGATATAATATGTGGAATGAGGATAATACGGGTGATTCACAATAGGGCGCCTTCAAGAGTTTGCAACGCGCGAAATTTGGCCCGACCATTTTCGAACGCACATTGGGTCGACAGATTTCGCGCATTGTGATTGGCCAACGCGTTGCAAACTCTTGGAGGCGCGGAATTGTGAATGCCGTATTGAATTCTTATAAGAGCAAGATTATTAGAAGAAAAAAGCTTTGAAGTTTGATCATCGTTAACTCTCAAACAGCTCTGTTAACTTTATATAGCTCATCGCTTAGAAACTTAAATGGCATCAAAAAAGCACTCATCAGTAGAAATGTGAAGTTTCGATTCAAGATTGAAAAGGGTTGTGATGTTATGGTCTTTTGAAATTGATGACCTCAAGTGTGTCGGCCCGCGCACAAAGTTAAGACCGTACTGGAAAAAAATGGATCTTCAAGTTGACTGACCCAGGAGGCCTATGCACAATAATGCGCGTCGCGTAAGATCAATCAATATATAAATATTTTTCTTAAAAATGTGTTTCAAATAACTGGAAGATGTTATTTTAAAAACTACTATTGCTAATACTGGCGTTTCAAATTAGTGCGCCACCTAGAGTTTTCAACGTGTTGGCCAATCAGAATGCACGAAATCTGTTGACCCAATGTGCGTCTGGAAAGGGTTGACAGATTTCGCACACTGTGATTGGTCAACGTGTTGCAAACGCTTGGAGATGCACTATTGTGAATCGCCCGTATTAATGCTCGGCGCACGGAAAGAAGGAACTCAAAACTGCGAAGATATTGAAGAAAATCCCGAAGCGGGCCAGATTTCCCGGCTCAGTTAGTGCCATAATTGCTTTTGTGCAATGTAGGAAATAATAAAGATTTTCAGGAAAGTAGTTGCAAAACGGGCATGAAATTAAATCATGTCAGGCTTATCAACATAATGTGGCATTGTTTTAATTATCATGCAAATTGCTGGTTTTCACAATACACAGTATTAAAATATATTAACTGATTTTCACAGGAGTGCAGTTTTTATACCCGGAATAATGTGTGCCTACTGTTATTTTCAAATATAATTATGCTATTTAATTTTTACTGCCTGTTTGTAATATAGAATTGATGTTGTGAGTTAATGTACAAATGTTTGCAATTATCTTCTTAATCAAGTGTCAAATGCTATGCAGTTTAAAAAGGTGGTGATTTTATTTTTGGAAAACCATGCTATAGAGATGTATAGGGTTGCCTTGCCTTGCTACCGTATCAAGTACCTATACGGTTCCAGTATCGTCGTTGATAGTTTTCTTGAAGTCATTCTTTTCTTAGGTGTTTTGAGACTGTAATCGCACAGGCTAAGCATTGCTTGCGATTACGAACTTTGCATCCTATAGCCATGTCTGCAGGTGAAATGCATTTGAAATTATTTGTTTTTTTATCATATCTTTGTATTTAATTGACCGCACCAGTAAGCACTGCACACGTGGGCACTTAACGCGTGCTCTTCTCCAGAATCACACTACGTGTTTCAGCCGTGCGTATCATACACGCGTGCACGCGTGTCGGACTTTTCTGCACGCATGTCGGACTATGGTGCACGCATGTCGGACTATGGTGCACGCATGTCGGACTATGGTGCACGCATGTCTGACATTAATCAGGGCTGCGATTTGTCAGATCACAACGGGGCGGGGTTGAAGAAGGTCTATTGCTACTTTTGAACCCTGGGGTGTGGCATGCCTCTTAGTTCATCCTACAGATAAGGGAATATGCCCCCCTCCCCGTTTGAGCATGCGGAAATACTACAGCAGACAAAAGAATGTGTACACCCAGTCCAACTACAAGCCGATAAGTGTGTCGTACACGTAACTGGGACGAGAAGCTTACCCCATGGTTAATAGGGCTTGTAGGCTGCGTCTTTCAGGTAAAAGCTGAAAACACTTGTTAGTTGTCCTCTTTCGAATTGGGCAAGTTCTGTGAGGATAAGTGCTCTGAATGTAATTGATATTTAAGTGAACTTTGACGTTACACTTAAGGGATCAGGTCAGATTATTCTATTTTTATATAACGAAAAACCCGTGATGTAAGTAGTTATTCCAATTTTATTCTATTTAAAACCAAAAAATGGTGATTCCTTGTACGCGTGACAGCTTTTCAAGTATATCTAATTATTCTATAATAAACGTTATATTTATATATATGTAACAGGCATAGTATAACTTCATGATCATCATAGAAATTAATTACACTGATAGATATTTTTGTTTTTCATCACAGGCTTGTAATAATAATGACAGAATAATTATATCTTTTTACTTATTTACAAAGATAGGGCAACTGTGAGCAGCTTGGAGTTTAAGAAAATGATGGTAGAATTATGCATGCTGAGTTTCACATAAAATAATCCTATTTGAGGCCAACATTGCGGCGGCACTGCACTCGCGTACTTCAACTTCACGCGCGCGTGCCTTGGCAAATCACGATACCCTAGTGGTCGACGAGGCGTGTAACGCGCGCACCTCGTGTCTACGAGCGTTGTGCCGCTGCAGTTATGGCCTCTAATTCTGGTCGTCGACTTCCACTCTACGTGTTCAGATGTCGTAGACTATGCTGTTTAACGTTGCTATGACTTGCCTAGATATAATACGCCACTTTTTGTGGCCTTCTTGAATGCCGTTGTTTCTGTTGATGTTCAAGTCATTTACAAGAATAAAACTGTCCTTGCCGACTACCAGCCCCATTAAAACGACTGGCTTCTACAGTTCTTGTCATTAATCCTATAAACCGAGGCACCCGATTCGATTATCCAACTCTGTTTAAAACAAAATGCCATATTTGAAGCTTGCCGGTGATTTATTATAATAGGTACAGGAATTGGGAAGCAGATTCAGCATATTTAAGTGGGGTCCTGGGCGAAAACGATTGTGAACGTGGAAACCCGTGTGACATGCGATAAATGTATTACCGGCATGCTTTGTAGATGGCATTTTAAAAGTCTCGTTTATTACCAGCCTCGGGTTGTCTGATGCATGGGATGCAAAACACGGCTTTTCCTGACCTTCTCATCGCTGCGTGAGCCTGGTACAGATGCCGCCCCAAGTGTCACGGCTGTTCCGCCTTTACAAGCGTACCAATTGAGTTTCAAACAGATTTTTCAGTGACGAAATATTGTTAAAGCTTGGCGTGGGCGTGAAGGCATCCATCTTTGCCATTGCAATTTTCAGAGGCAGAATTTTGTTAGATAACTTCATACGGTTCACGCTTTCATGCGTGTTGTCCCGTGCATTTATTGCACTTTTTTGAGAATACTGAGTCTGAGGGTCATTTCAAGATGGGCGTTTTTCAAAGAGGCTATGACCGATATTTATGAAAATAGACCGAGTTGAAATGATGGCAACACATCGGCAGGCCCGATTGGCCTATCCGCCCCGAGCAGAAGCGTCCTCATCAGTTGAAAAGAGCCGCGTTGGTTGGAAGTGATTTTTGCTGGTAGCGATGCGACCTTGACGCGTGCATTTCCTAGTCGTTCGTAAACCAGCGAAGTTAGTTCCAATCAATGGAGCCTCTATGGCTGAAAAAATAGCGCCCTCTCTTGGTGAAGCTCGAGGCCCGTAGGATAGGACAAGACAGGACAGGATAGTTCAATTTATTTATTGACATCCATTTAAGAAAGGTTGAATCCATTACAATTTATATTGTAATATTATATAAACAACATATATCAAAAGTCCTTTTAAAAACAGCAACACAAACTATAAACAAAATCAAAATTATCAAACATTAAAATTCAAATCTGACGGGACACACAAAACTGTCAAATGTTAAATATTGTCAATAAAACCAATATTTACATGAAAAAATACCCTCAAAAACATATTACGACATTAAAAAATAGTCAAAACGGCTCTAGACAGTCACATGAGACACCGCCACGCCTAATATTAGTCAAAACGATGTCACACACAACCAATCAGCCCTGCCCCGACTCCCTCCTGGAGTGTAATACTTGGTATACAAACTGTGGTAACACACTGGCCCTTGCATCCTACTGATTAAATAAACACCACGGTATGAAAGACATCTTATACCTGTTTGTCTGTGTTTGTCGGAGCGGGAATTAATAGCAGACCTCAGAGAATAGTTTAATGTGACGCTGAGGCGGGAGAAGATGGTGTAACTTATGACTATCCTCTTTGAGTTTGTTAAAATACGACATACATAATTTGATGCGCCTCGCGTGCAGGGATTGGAGTTTCAACCTCAGGAGAATAGACTCGTAACTTTGACCTGGGTAGATAGACTTAAGAGCACTTTTCTGAACCATTTCAATTTTATTGGACAAATAATTTGGTAGGCTACTATGACAAACCTGACAAGCATATTCCAAAACTAGTCTTATGACTGACAGGTAAATGGTAAGTAGGTCTCTTTGGCCTACACCAGCACGTTTTAGTTGATACAGCACGTACAACCGCTTACTGGCCTTGGTCACAATGTAATCAATGTGAGCGTTCCATGTCAAATCCGATGATAAAATTACACCAAGTACTTTAGCTTCACTAACTCTTTCAACTGATCTACCATCAATAACAATATTTGGCAAGGTATCGGCATGAGCCCTGTCCTTACAGGACTCATGGATAAGCAGTTCCTGAGTCTTCTTGGCATTAACCATCAGGCTATTCTCTCTTGACCACTGGTAAGTTATGTTGGCCGACTCCTGCAATTTTGATGCCGAGCCTTTCTTGCAAATCTCAAAGACGGTACTACCATCCACATATTTGTAGATCGGGCAGGGCATGGCCACGTCGTTAAACTGCACCAAAAAGTCTTTAGGTCCTGACAGAGTCCCCCGCGGGAAGCCACCGTTTGGGGAACAAAACCAGACAATACCAGACCCAACTTGATGCGTTGCACTCTGTCAACTAGAAACGCCGCCATCCAGTGCACGAGGTGTCTATCAATGCCAATATCAATCAGTTTCTGGATGAAAATAAGATGGTTGATGTGGTCAAAAGCCTTGGAGTAATCAATAGTAGGACTCTCACAAACGAACCTGTCTTGTCGGTGGCCACGCCTGTACATTAACGCAAGAATTAGACGCTAATTGACAATGTCCACACAAAGTTTCCCCCTCTCTGGAAAAGGGGTTCAGAGGCATTTTGGGGTAGGGGTCATCTGTGGTAAAAGGAAGAGGAATAGTCAAGAAACCTTGTACCAAAAACACAAAATAAATCAAAACAAAACAAAAAAGGCCAAAAATCTTGTTCCTGGTTGAAGAAAAACGAGTATTTTCACTGAGTTTCTTGACTGCACAAAAACAAAGGAATGTCCATAGTATGTATGTAACGTAAACATGCATATGTGTGTGTGTGCGCGGCGTGGGGACTGGGGGATGATAAAAACGACAGTCCAATGTCATTCTAAAGCTGAATTTGGCTGAAAAAACTAGCACATTCATAGCACCACTCATGTTTGAGATCCGAGTTATTTGGACTCATCTCTCAACCGGGGGCGGATTCTGCCCCCAGAAATTCAGCTGTGCCGATCCTGAATTTTTAAAACTTGGCATATATACTACGAAAGCCCAATCGTGCTACAGTCAAGTGTACAGTTTTTGGCCTGACACTACTTTGATTTTAACGAATGACTAATTTGAAATGGCGAATTACTAGTTCGAAATAACGAA